CCTACCCAAATCTCATCTTGAATTGTAATTCCCATAATCCCTACATGTCATAGGAGGGACCCAGTGGGAGGTAATTTAATCATAGAGGAGGTTACCCTCATGTGTGAGATAGTGAGTGAGTTCTCACGAGAGCTGATGATTTTATGAAGGGCTTTTACCCCTTTTGCTTGGCACTTCTCCTTGCTGCAGCCATGTGAAGAAGGATGTGTTGACTTCCCCTTCTGCCATTCTTGTAAATTTCCTGATGCCTCCCTAGCCATGCTGAACTGTGAGTCAATTAAACCCCTTTCATTTATAAATTACCCATTCTTGGGTATGTCTTTATTAGCAGCAAGAGAACAGACTAATACAGTACTCAGTGCATGCGGGTAGGTAGATACTTTGGGTGGCACTGATTAATTAACAATCTACAGGAACCAAAGAGTCTGTGAGAACCTCATATTCACACACACAAGCATACATACAAACTCCAGAACAACAGACATTTCCAAAAACAGGACTCCAGTCTCTTCTCTAGCAGCTTACAGAGACACTAATTGTAGCATCATTTTTCTTCTTTTTTTTTTTTTTTTTTTGAGACGAAGTTTCGCTCTTGTTACCCAGGCTGGAGTGCAATGGCGCGATCTCTGCTCACCGCAACTTCCGCCTCCTGGGTTCTAGGCGATTCTCCGGCCTCAGCCTCCCGAGTAGCTGGGATTACAGGCACACAACAAATTTTTTGCATTTTTAGTAGAGATGAGGTTTCACCATGTTGACCAGTATGGTCTCGATCTCTTGACCTCGTGATCCACCCGCCTCGGCCTCCCAAAGTGCCAGGATTACAGGCTTGAGCCACCGCGCCCGGCCAGCATTATTCTTTCAGAATAATTGATCTAAGCATGTTTTTGGTCTAACAAGGCTTTAAGAATGTGTTCAATAAGCGTTCCTAGAATATTAATAACTAGTACGTGGAAAGGGGCTCCGTGCTCAGATTCACCTGAGGAAATGCTGAGGTAGGTGAGATTTAATGGGTATATTCCACAGTACTTCTTAGAGATTCTGACATGCTATGTCAAAGCAGAGTGGGATGTCATTATCATTTCCTAAATACATTTGACCATAGAGTCTTTTTTTAATGGAGGCTCTCATGGAATAAGTATTTCATAGACCACTCTATGATTTCTATGAGTTATATGCAATTATAGAAAATATAGAAAAACGCAGTTTGCCTAAATGATGAAGACAGGTCTCAAACAGTAGATTGTCAGCTACCAGGAACTCTTGAAGATGCTTGATGTATCTATTCCCTTTTTCATTCACCCTCCATTTTACTGCATCCTACTCCATTGACTACGGTTAATAAAAGCTGATATTTACTGATCCTGTACTATATGTCAGGCTCTGTTTTAAGTGCTAGAACCCTCACAATAAGCCCTCAAGGTCGGCACTAGTATTATTATTATTCCATTTATATAAGTGAGGCAACTTGAGGCACTGAGAAATTAAGGGATTTCCCCACCGCCACCTGAATGGTATGTGGTGGAGCCAGTGCACAACTCAGGCAGAGCTAAGGCTCCTGGCAACCACACAAGTTTCTCATTCAGATAGAGAGAGAGAAAGGAAGAGAAAGACCACATGATGGCTCCTCCCTCTTTTATCTACTGCCTATGATGGATTTAGTTCTGTAATACTCCACTCTCTCATCAGCCTCCCCACCCACCCAACTTTCAATCTTCCATCCAGTCGTCGCTCTTCCTTCACACATGATTCCGATTAAGATAATTAACACCTCAGATTCCGATTAAGATAATCTCCATCTGGCCATGTGGTGTTTTGTTTCCTTATTCTAGACGGTGAAACTTCTTTCCAAATATCTCATTCAGCAATTCCACTTTGATGAGAGAAATCACGAGTTCCAGAAAGATGCGGATTATATATCCAGTGTTAGCAATTACTCTAGGCAGCACAGCGTGACAGAAAATCAACATACATCACCTGTATTTCACTGAAATTTCTCCTGATGAGGAGGAACTTTCTCTTCGCTGAGATCTCTCTAAATTTCCTTCCTAGCCTCCAGAAGAATAGCCCCAGCTTATTCCTCTAGCCTTCCTCTATTCTCAGCAGTCTGTCCAAATTTTTACTACTTCTTTCCCTAAAAAAAAGAAGAAAAAAAAAAGTCCCTTTGGCCTCTCCCTCACCTTCCCTGATCAAACTCCACCTTTCATCATGTTTGGTTGCCTCTGATCTCCACTCCAAACCTCTTTCACCTCATTTCTCTTTCTCTCATTACAGATTCATCTCTTCTTCTCTCTGCCTCCCACTGCCATGTGACAAATCCCTTTTAAAATAGCACCAGTGACTCACCCGGCGGATACTGTATTCCATTTATATGTACCGTCTTTATTTTCCAAGGGGCATAAAGAGTTTCACAGAAATTCAGGCTTATTTTTACCTCGTTCTTGTAAAAGAATTGTCTGTAAGAAGGGAATAAAAATGTAGTTGGGTATTTTGTCTAAACAACTTGACTATTAAGGCTGATAACCAGGTTTTCACTTTCCCAGGTTATTTCTTCTCCTCGTCTCCCTCTCTTTGGTGCTTGTTATTTTCTTCAGTAGCCTCACCAGAATTTAGACCTTAGTCTTACAGTTGCGCTGTTTCTGAATCAGTCACCCATGCTGGAACCCTCAGAGCTGACTCCAGCCCTCCAGCTTCTTCATGCCCATTGCCTTTGGGTAAACAGGCCACTCCAGCACTATCCTGAGGCCCTTACCTCTATTTTCACTGCCACAACCTGACTCCAGCCAGCCTCTCCTCTGACCTGCACCAAGGCAATGATTGCCTAATGGTTCCCACTGCCCTCAACCATTTTTCTACAAATTGTTATTCTCCACCTCACATCTGAGCATGCTGCAACTTGGGATCCTCTGTCTAAGATCCCATCCTTTGTCATGGTACTCAGGCCTCCTCAGTCTGGCCTCAAGCTACCTTTCCTCTATAATCACTGAGCTCTATAACACGCCCATCCTGGAAACAAGCAGCTTCCCTACATGTGCCTTCATTTCCCCACCTCCATGCTTTCATTCATTTGGCCCCTCTGGCAGGAGTGCCCACCCTGGTCTTTTCCTGTCAAGCTCTTTCTCAGGTTTAAAGGCACCTCTTCAGCTAAGCTTTTCCTAACTTACCCAGGGTGGACTTAAATATACAGAAGACTATATTCATATAGCTTTTTATGATAATTGTTAAAGAGATATGTATAAGGTAGTACATATCACAAAAATGTATTGGAAGGCTATGATGTCCCAGGCACTGGGTGCATAGGCATCAGATTCATAGTCTTTAACCTACTTCTAAGTAAGACAGAAAATAAAGTCAAATAAATGGTATTTCAGGGTGAAATAAGCAGTAGTAGAGATGAGCCTCCTTCTTCCTCTGGGTGGTTGGTGCCAAGTGCACTCCCACGGACCCAACCTTAGCTTAGCCAATGAGTAATGAAAGTAATAAGGTGAATTCCACCAATGCTATTTTCTCCTATGCAAGCCCTGGCTCTATACAGCCAAGGAAATTGGTGAAAGGAGTCACTGGCCCAAGGCATTTGGCATTCACAGCTGAGCCGCAGGGTGAGTCACACAGTCATGCATAACTAATGTGCTCCCTGGCTAAGCAGCAAAGACTCATGAAGTAAAGGTAAAGAGGTTGTTGCACCATGCCAGGCCAAGTTCAGAAGTCACCAGGTCCAGAGCCTCCTCCCAGCTGGCTTCCTGACTCCTGTCTTGTTCTCTAAACCCCATCTTCCACCTGGCAGCTGATGTCATTTCCCACAGCCTTTAAAACGAAGTACATGCTCTTTGGACTGACAGGCAAGGCCCTTCATAACATCCCCTCTGCCTCCCTGACACCACTTTTGCATCCACTTCCTAACCTCTACGCTGTCCCTTGGTCATATTAAACTACTTGCATTTCTTTAATTCATCAGGATTTCTCTTACCCGCAGGCCTTTGCCTGTGCTGCTTTTTCCCTTTGCCTAGAATGCACTGAAACCTTCTGCATAACTCTGACTCATCCTTCTGGTCTCAGGATAAAGGCTATTTTTAAAGGGAAGCTTATCCCTACCCTTCCTTCATGCTAAGATCTGGACAGCCTTGCTCCTGTGTGTTCAAACCTCACACCCTCTGCTTTCTCCATCATTGCACATATCACACTGCATTGGAATCATTTGCTTACTTGTGTGTTTCCCCAGTGTAAACCCCTGGAAGGCAAACACCTAAAGGTTTCATCATTGCATTCCAGTGCCCAGCCAAGAATGCGGAGTGCATTAGGCATGAGAAGTATGTACTGGTGGAGTGAGTTCACGTACAACTATGAAGACAAGGTCACGTTTTCCTAGTCAGGCGCAGATAGAACAGGACGTATACATCATCAGCTACTTGGATAGTAAAACCCTAAGCATGAAGCAAATTAGCAATTTAAATCGCATACAAGACAGCATGAATCTGTTATACAAGAAAGCATAACTTGTGTAAAGGTAGTGAGATTATTGTCCAATTAAAAAGGTGTTGATTTTTACTTAAACAAAGTTACTTTATACCAAAATTCTAATTTTTGCTAATGGGACTAAAAAAGGATAAGTTGTGTCATTCTATTCCTTTAAGAGGAAACCAAAATAAAACACAGAAAAAAAAAAAGTTGAGTGAAGCTACTTTTTGAGTAGTGGGCCCTCAGAATGGAAACCCAATGACAACTGGATTATTTTCTCCCTTCTTCTATAAACAGAATTCTATTATAGAGACAAGTTGAAATAGATCTCAAATTGTTGCCACTGTCACAGCTGTAACTCGTAACTCATGTGTAAAGAACCATTACAAGCTGGAATCTAAGAGTGATAAATATAGTTTTCACCCCTGGTGAACACTAGCCAGAATCTCTTCCATTATGGTTCCCATCAAGGATAGGTACAGGTAGGATAGAAATCAAACACGAACGATACTACCTTTCCCTATGTATTATGAATAGACTAGGAAACTATTCTTAATAATAAATATTTATTAATTAGAACATATAAGTGAATGCAGAAGGCATTTAAAAGAAAAATATAAAAGAACAATTTTATTCATGCAGTACTTTCATAAAAAGTGAGTACAAACTCAGTCCATGAATGTATAAAGTGAAATGAGCTGGCTGGCAGGAGAGAGGGTCATGGTGCCAGAGGCTACGCAGTCATGGTCACAGCTGTGTTGGTTGATTGCTGGGTTCCTGTTGGCTTGGTCTGGGTCATGTTATTTGTGGTCTTGGACTTCCTGTCCAGGCTCTTGACCATGTCGTTCACCCACTTGGCTTGTGAATCAGCACAGACTTTTAGGCCACGTTTGGTAATAAAACTGTAATACAAGGAAAACGTAGATGGAGTTAGCCGTATTCTCAAAGCCTCAGGGCCAGGAATTAAGATCAGAGCAGACATGAAGAGATCTTGTGCTGAAATTACTGCAAGAAATAGTCTTTCTGAGCCATGAAATCATAAATGAGCACCCTTCTTCTGCCATCTATTTTAACGTAAAGCAGAAATATCTGCAAATAGTATCCAGCCCCTTGTTCACCATAATTCACAGGCTCATTTTCTCATCCATGTCACCAAATCTTGTAACAAAAAACCTTTGAGGCTATCTAGTTCCATTAGTACATATCCTCTTCCTCTTCAAATTCAAAAATACTCATCTTATTTTTTGAATAAAAGGTGATTGTTCAATTTTCATGTCTTAGAGTAAATCTTGCCATTATGTGTTAGGAAGAGTTATTAGTTCTCAAAATGAGATCCTGGTAGAAGAAGGTCACCATATAGGTTGTCCATTGACTCATTTTCTTGAAATATGTAACTGACAAAGCATGGCACTCAGCCTAACTCAACCCTAAGAACCTCCCCCACTCCAGTGTGGCTTGCAGGGAAACCCTGAATGCGCCAGCCATCTCTAAACCCAGCCCTCAGAGCTGTGCACAGTATTCATCGGACTCTTCTGCTAAGCCAAATAGAGGCAGACTTCTATTCTTTATTTGGCAGCCAAATTTTTTGCAATAATCACTATTTGGTTGGGCTGCATAAAGACATGATTGATAAGGAAAAATAAAGAGGTTATTGGTTAAGTTGAGGTGTTCCTCCATGTTAGCCTACTTTTCCTGAGGAGGGCAGCATTTCTATGAACTACATTTCTATACCTCTAGTTATCCACCCAGCCCAGCTCCTGAGGAGGGAAACTCACATTACTGCTTTCAAGGAGCCTTCCTTGATGGTATAGGTCTTGATTCTGTTAACTGGCAGTCGCTGGGTAGTGAGGCTCACACAGACACTCTTATCTGAGACTTCACTCCCTATACCTGGTGAGAGAAAAAAATACCAGACAATTCAAAATAAAGCAATTATCAAGATCACAGGAACAATCATCTGTTAAGTTACTCTGAGAATGTTGTAAGACTATAAGTCCATTTGCTTTTGGGGGGAAGATTTGACTCATAGGCATCCTGAATCTTGTGTCCATCATAAATTCTTAGTAAATAGTTGACTAATTTAAAAATTCAATCAATATAATTGTTTCGGGAATTTCATGAGAGAAGTATCCCATGTCTGTACATTTTCACTTAGACTCTTGGGACAGCTATCAGATGCCCCAGTGACATTCATTCCTTCTTTTATACAGCAGTGCTGATTGTGGCCCACATGTTTTATTAAGACAGATGTTATCCTGTTTTCATAGAGCACATCTTCTAATGAGGGAGCCAGGCAACAGACCGGTAAACAGAAAAGATCATTTCAAATAGTGAAATCTGTTACTATAAGTGACAGACTAATGCGTGAAGAGTAATCGAGGCAAGGCAACATTTAGTGGGGGAGGGAAGCTTGTTTTTCACTGACAAAATAAAGGTGTTCTCATTCTAAACTGTAAACTGTCTCCATTCGCCATCCTCCCAAGATGCTGAAAAGAACGAAGGCCAAAGGAAAGAAGGTGGCCCCAGCCTCTGCTGTCGTGAAGAAGGGTATGGGACAGGACATCCAGCCCAAAAGGGACCTCACCTGCTTAGTGAAATGGCCCCACTATATCTGGTTGCAGCTGCAAAGAGCTGTCCTCTATAAGCAGTTGAAAGTGCCTTCTGCAGTTAACTGGTTCACCCAGGTCTTAGACCCCAAACAGCTACTCAGCCACTTAACCTGATCCACAAGTACCAACCAGAGACAAAGCAAAAGAAGAAGCAGAGACTCTTGGCCCAGGCCGAGAAGAAAGCTGCTGGCAAAGGGGGTGTCCCTACTAGGAAACCACCTGTCCCTTGATGAGCAGGTATCAGCACCATCACCACCTTGCCGGAAAACAAGAAGGCTCAGCTGGTAGTGATTGCACATGGCATGGACCCCATCAAGCCGGTTGTCTTTCTGCCTGTCCTGTGTCCTAAAATGGGGTTCCCTTACTGCATTATCAAGGAGAAGGAAGGCAAGACTGGGACATCCAGTCCACAGGAAGTACCACTGTCACCTTCACACAGGTTAACCAGGAAGACAAAGAAGCTTTGGCTGAGCTGGTGGAAGCTATCAGGACCAATTACAACGATGGATATGATGAGATCTGCAGTATCCTGGGTCAAAAACCTGTGGCTCGCATTGCCAAGCCGGGAATAGCAAAGGCTGAGGAACTTGCCGCTAAACGGGGTTAGATGTACACTGTTGAGTTTTCTGTACATAAAAATAATAAAAACTCTCCTTCAAAAAAATTAATAAATGGTAAAAGGTAATATTATATATATATTTATGTATATATAAATAAGGAAGTCGGCCCTAAAATATTCATCCCCAGTAGTAATGGCCCAAGGGGAATTAAACTATTAAGTTTAGAGAACCATCTTACATTGCAAAAGGAAAAATAACTTGGGAGAAATAATACTGTTAAGGGTTGGGCAAAATCTAATCAAAGTTTCTAAGGCAGACTTTCTCCTCAGCTGTAGACACTGGCCTTTGCTTCCAAGAGAAACAGGCAGCTAAAAAGCATCTAAAGGAACCACTGATAACCACCGAGTCTGCTCTGTAGTGTTGCTAATATCAGAATGCATTTTTAAAGCATGGAACTAACAAGGGTGTTCACGGATGTCGCTTTTCCTCATCATTCCTTTTCCTTTCCTTCACTCCCAATGCCAGTCGGCACATTCCTGCCCTCTACCTTTGCCAATTTATTTTTAATGCTGAATTGTTTCTGAAGCCAGTGAAAGAGGAAAAATCTGGGCTTTATCTCTGTTTCTCTCATATTTTAGAAACAGTATTTCTCTCTGTGAAGTATCTAACATGAACTCCCAAGACTTTATACTTGAAACCACAAAGCCTTTTCCTTATTCTCAGCAATGTTTGTGTGTCTATGTTGTTCTTTAAAACATCACCTTCTCTCAGGTTGCAGAGTTGAGTCAAAGCAGAGACTGCTTTGCCTTACTTTTGTACATAAGAAGCTAGGCACCAGTGAGACTTATTGAGCTCCTTCAAATAGAAAACTTGGGAATCTGAGACTAGTGTCTACAGTTCCTCTCAGTCTCCAACAGAGCTTCCTTCCCCCTACTGAGACCTGAGTCTCCCTCAAATGGTATGACCATTGTCTTAGCAAAATGCCATCCAGGTAGCAGCATGTCACCTAGTGTAGTAATCAAACTTTTTTGTATATTAATTTTTTTTTGTTTTGCACACAATTTCAAGGACTTCCGCCCACCTTTATTCATGGACCCCCTTGTGGACCCATGATTAAATTATATGTCACAGTCCAAAGGATAAAAATTTACTCCAGTCGTAGAAAAAAGTAATCCTTCAAGAAATATCTACTGACTCTCAGGTCAGGGCTCAGTATATCTAAATCTTACCTGGATGTGTCTTGCAGGTTTATTGAACTGTGTATAAGGTGCTGATCTATTCATTAGTACTTATTATAATATGGTCTCTTACAAATCCAGAAAATTTCTCATAAATAATAACATTCATGGCAGTAATAACAGAATCACCCATATACTTGAAGGTAATATTGATTTTCTGGATATGAGGGTTTGAATTTCCAGTCATTCGGGGCTTAGTTTTGTATTGAAAACATTGATTCGCTCCAGAACATACATCCTCTAGTGCATCCCCACATTGTGACTGAACTCTCAAAGATTCTGATGATTTATCAAACTATATACTAAATAGACAAAAGATACAAGTGCATTTATAATCATCACCTCTCATCCAGAGCTAACATTAATTAAACAATTATGGTTTGTAAGGAAATCTGATGTTATTAAATGAATAAATAAGCCATAATATTTATTTAATCTTAATCTCAGGTGATCATGTCTGTTATTTTATTCAATGTATACATAAATAGGCATAGGCCCTGAGTGGTTAAGAAATTTACCCCTAATTACCCAATTAGGAAAAGTAGGAGCCCAGACACTAACCAAATTCTCCCTGTTCTGGGATTTTACAAAGGCCGCTACAGTCAAAACCATCATTCCTGTTTTGCACATGTGAAGTTTAAGGTTCATCTGGGAAAAGCCATTTACTCCAGTCACAACCTGAGTCAAAGCCAAAGTGTGTGCCCACCTGCCTTGCCTCCCTGTCCTTTATCTTACAGACAGCCTATCAGCTTACCTTCCACAATGTACGCAGTAAGAAAGCAGATGCCAAGGAGGACCAGGATGCGAAGTCTCATGGCTGAGGTCCCGCTGAGCTGTGCAGGGAGAGAGTGAGGATCAGGCTGTTTGAGGACCTCTTATATTCCTCCAATGGTCAGCACACTTCCTGTAGTGAGAGGGGGCTTTCAATGTGGGTGTCGGATCATGGAAAATCTTTGCAATACTGATGCTTTCTTTTTTCTTTAAAAAAAAAGTTCCTCTTCCCTGTTCATACTAACCTTGTGGCCATTGCCCCTTTGCGTGTGGTTAATGTGTCAATGAAACCAAATGTATGCATAAAAGAAAATGTGGTCGTGCTGTCTCTGCCACCAGTCTGAATACAGACAGATCTTCCGCTGTAGACATGCCTGACGGCTGTTCACTGTCATGGCCCAGCATGGAAACTGTAAAGGAAATGAGGTGTGGTGGTCTCTGTGTTCCATCCCACCTCATGTGACATCCAGTGTGACACGGGTCTTCCACAACCATGGATCATGAGCCCCTGGTGCCACCCTTTGACTCTCTCAGGAGGTAAAGAGAGGCTGCTGCCACACTGAGTTTCTCAATCCTTTGCTTTCTTTTTTCTCGTTTTTCTCTGCCACCCTTATTCAAGTTATCCCCCTTTCTTCAAACCAATCTCCCCAGGTACCCAAGAAACAATTAAATAATGGTTTGAGCATGTCTATATGCATATGTTTGCTTTATTACAACTTAGCACACACATTTATAAAAGCTTTCGAAAAGTTGTGCTATACCAACTTATTTCAAATAAAAAAGAAAATGATAATCTTATCATCTGGCAGTTTTCATTTTTAATATTTTTCCAGTGACTCTGTATTGGCATACATGTGTTCTCATAATTGTGGTCATTTAAAATATTGTTTTAATGCCAATTTAAATAGCTTCCCTTTTTTAGCCTTTGTATCTCTACTTTGAATAAATATATACACATACACATTAAACATTTTCTTATAACTTATTATCTAAATCAGAACTATAAGGTCGATTTCCTTAATATACACTGAATTACTTCCCTTTAATAACCAGGAGTGGGATTACTGGGTAAAACGATATGATCAGCTTTATAGCTCTTAGTATATATTGCCATATCGTCTCCCCAAAATGTAATTGTAATTTGCAATGCTCCCAGTAGGATTCAAATACTGACTACACTGGAACTTTCCAGTCACTGAGTCTGTATGTGGTTGTTCTTTATTTTACATCGGTAGCTATAAAATGTATTTAGTAAATATATGCATAGTTAAAGGTTTACAAAACATAATGAGGTATCACCCTACGCCTGTTAGAATGGCTGTGATGGAAAAAAAAAAACAAAAGATAACAAGTGTTGGCAAGGATTGGAGAAGAGGGAACTCTTGCGCACTGTTGGCAGGAATGTAACTTAGTATAGACATTATGGAAAACAGCAGAGGTTCCTCAAGAAATTACAAAGAGAACTATCATGTGATCCAGGACTTTGGATATATACCACTGCTATATATATACTATATTTACATATATCCACTTTGGATATATACCACTACACATTATGGAAAACAGCAGAGGGTCCTCAAGAAATTACAAATAGAACTACCATACGATCCAGCACTTGGGATATATAGCACTACTGGGTATATATCCAAAGGAAATGAAATAAATGTATCAAAGAGACATCTGCACTCCCATATTTATTGCAACATGATTCATGATAGCCAAGATATCAAATCAACCTAACTAGATAAAGAAAATGTGATGCATATACACAATAAAGTACTAGTCAGCCACGAAAGGGGGAAATCATTAATTTGCCAAAACATGGATGAACCTGGAAGACATGATTTTAAGTGAAATCAGCCTGCATGATCCCATTCATATGTGAAATCTGAACAAGTTGATTCCATAGAAACAGAAAATAGAATGGTAGTTACCAGGTGCTGGGGCAGTTGAGAAGACTTGGGTTGGGTTAGGGAGATACTGGTCAAAGAATACAGAATTTTAACTAGATAGAAGGCATAATTTCAAGAGATCTATTATACAACATGGTGACTATAATTAAAAATACATTGTATTCTCGAAAATGCTAAGAGAGCTAATGTATTCTCATCACAAAAACTGATAGCTATGTGAGGTAATGCATATATTGATTAGCTTAGTCATTCCACAAGGTATACGTATTCTTTAAAACATCATTTTGTACACAATAAATACATACATTTTATCTTTCAATTCTTTAAATAAAATGACATTAATAAAAAGAAGTAAAAAATAAAGGCGTGAACTCTGGAGATTGTGCTTGAGGCTTTCTCATGTTTTCAATCAAATTGACAATTTGACTAATGGCTGAATTTTTATTTAGCATACTGACATGGAATTTGTTAAACTCTCAGAATGAATTGCTCACTTTCAGTCTATCAAAGCATACACTAGAATCTCTTTTGGGGAAGAATGAAATAACAGACAAGAAAGCAGAAACCTAGTGCAAAGTGGACATGACCTGCTAATGGGTGGACATTGGTTGACAACAATCAGTTGAGGGATACTTGTCATCATGAATATTTTTTATCCTTGACTCCTCTCCTTCTCGTAGATGTTATGCCCGATCAGCAAATACTGAAGTTTCTCTATCTTCAAAATAGAACCTAAACACTTCTCCCCACCCACAAACCACCCTATGCCAAGCCACCATCATCTCTCACTTGGATTAGTGGAGTCATGCAACAGCTTCCTAACGGGTCTTTCTGCTTCCACCTTTGCCTCTTGCTCCTTTGCCTCAAGTGACCATATCTACCAAGGTGACCATTCGAAAATGTAAGTCACATCATGTCATTTCTCCACTCAAAATCCTCCTATGGCTCTCCATTCTTACGAGCTAAATTCAAAGTCTTTGCAAGGGCTTACAAGTACCCATGCCCTGTGCTCGACTCTCTCATTCACTCTCTGACATCCTCCCCTGCTGTTCTTTACCCCTCTTACATCCCTGTAGCTATGTGGCCACCTTGTTGTTTCTGAGACATGTCAATTACGCTCCTGAATCCAAGTCTCGGCATTTGCCCATCCCCTCCGCCTGATACTCTCTTTCCTCAGATGTAAGCATGACTGAAACCCTCACCTCCTTCAGTTTTTTTCTCAAATGCTGTTCACTGTGGCTTTTTCTGATCACATAATTTAAAACTTTGTAAACATGCCCGTTCTGGTATCATTTGATCTATATTTGCTATTCTATTCTCATTGGTATCTTCAAATATAACAATTTGCTTGTTGATTTTTTTAAATGTCTGTCTTTTTCCAGGAATACTTAATCTTTTTCACTGCTGTTTCTTCAGAGTCCTGTATAATACCTGGCATAAAAGAGCTGCTCAATTTCTATATCCAGAATAAATGCAAGTATATGTGGTATGTAAGTGCAAGAGTGTGTAAGCAAGCATATGCATGTGTAAGCATCAACTTTTTTTTTTTTTTCTGAGACAGAGTCTCACTCTGTTGCCAGGCTGGAGTGCAGTGGCACAATCTCAGCTCACTGCAACCTCTGATTCCCTGATTCAAGCAATTCTCCTGCCTCAACCTCCCAAGTAGCTGGGACTACAGGCATGTGCCACCATGCCCAGCTAATTTTTGTATTTTTAGCAGACAGGGTTTCACCATGTTGGCCAGGATGGTCTCGATCTCCTGATCTCATGATCCACCAGCCTCTGCCTCCCCAAAACATTAATATTTATATCTGCAAAGTCTAGTGCTCTGGAATATCAGCTCTGCTCATGCATGTGTGACCACACAGTGGAATGGGAAAATCCATTTTTGAAGGAAAGCATTCATTGTTGAGGGAAGAGGACAGAAACAAGAGGGGTACAAGTAAAAGAAACTCGATGTTTTCTCCTTCTTATGACTTTCTGGTCTCAATATATTAATTCATCTGAAAAGTTACTTTGTATTTCATCATACATAATGTATAATCCATATAAATATCTCTTCTTCTATAGAACATGTTTGTATAATTTTCCAGTTTTTCTATTAAATAATTTATCTTTTCCTTATTGGTATGTAAAGAATCTTTATATATTTGTCTCACTAATTATTTGTCATAGGTGTTGCAGTATTTTCTCAGTTCATAAATGTAGTTTCACTACATTTATGATGTCTTTGATTAACAAAAATATATAATTTTAATATAGTTTAATTTTTACTATTTTATTTTGTACTTAATGATTTTTGTGCTTTAGTAAATTCTTCCTTTCTCCAAAGTCAGAAAGATATTTACCTCTTTTTCTACTAAAAATTTTAAAGTCTTGCATTTGACATTGAAATTTTCCATTTTGCTAGTGTTCCTTTCTGTATGGACTATGAGATAGAGATCCAAAGGCTTTCTTTTCTTTATACATCCAACATTTCTAGCTCCAGTTTTTAAATAGGTCTACTTTTCCTGCACTACCTTTCACATATTAAACCCCCACATATATGTGCATTCATTTCAGGGTCTCTATTCTGCTCCACTGGTCCATCTGTCCATCCTTCACTAGCACCATTATAACTTAACTTAGTTTTCAGTAACGCAAGCCCTCTTATTCCTTTTCTTCAGAAGTATCTTGCCTTAAGCTCACTAGTAATTATGAAAACAAAAGTCAAGACCACAGCGTGACCCTCATCTTCTTCCCATTCAAAGTGGTCAAAATTAAAAACTCTGATAGTAGTACTTTGCAAGGATATGAAGCAGCCCGTATTACTTCTGGCTTTGGAAATTGGCATTAACACTTTGAAAAGCAGTTTGGCATTGTCATGTAAACCTGAGCATTTGCATACCATGAAGATCCAGAAATCCTGCTCCTAGATACATACTTAGAGAATTTCAAAGGAAAGGAGCATTATTAAATGTAAGTTATGTAAAATGTCCAAGTGCCCAAGTTGAAGGTAGGTTAATGGTGGCATATTATACAAAGTAATTAACTGAATAGAAGAAGGTCACATGTAAACTCATGTAGATGATATATAGTTGTATCATTCAGATTAGACTAAGAAAACCAATGTAGATATTCCTAATCAGTTGTCTGTCTTGAATGTTCTCCTCCAGAAAGTGCCACAGGAATTTAGGCTGTTTCCACCTCTGAATAATACCATCTCCTAAAGCCTGGGAGTCTGTTTCTTCCAGCTGCAGGGCGATGATTAAGAGAGTATGGCACACCTCCTCTTATCTAGAAGTGAGGTGTATTCTTTGGTCCCATATGATGGGTGAGAACCAGTTATCTGGTCCCATCTAGAAGCAAGGACAGAGTGAGAGAATAGAGAATGAAGTTGCATCTGGGAAATGTAATCTAGATCAAAGAGCAGATAAGGTCTAGCATGACCTGTCATAGCAACACAATTGTCATTAATCTAATGGTGCACTTGAGGTTCAAGTTTCTAAGGCGAAAACGTAAAGCAAGATTACTGTGATTATTATTTTCTTTGAAACATGCCCACAACATCTCTTAAATTCCACATCTTTTTTTCCCTAAATTAAAATAGTGTTCTTGTATTTTTCTCTTAGAAAAACAGTATGATTACTGTAAGGAAAATCCAGGCACTATAGAAAATATTTTTAAGAAAATATAGTTCGCCCAAAGTCCACTACCCAGAAGTAACCACTTAACCATAACAGATGGACGCTCTTCTAAACAGCACTCTAGGTAAATATGCCTACGTATATCATTTCACAATCTTTCTACAGCATTCAATGGCTGCAGATTTATTGTACGTTTACAATGTGTGACGCTTTGTGCTAAGTACAAAAGGCCATTAACCCATTTATTTTATCCTTAAAAAAATATAATGAAATAAGTAGAACTATTGTGTACATTTTATAGATGAGAAAATTGAAACTTAAAGAGCTTAAGTAATTCACTAAAAATCACAAAGGTTGGCAATGCTAAAGATACAAACCCTGGTCTACCAGACTCCAAGCCCAAGCTACTAAACAATGCCCTATACTGTCAGATATTTTGATACACCACTAATTGATAACACCCCTCTTCAGGGGTCCTTAAATTGTCTCCCTTTTTATTCAACCATGGACTACTCAGCAATAAGAATATGCATTTCTCTAAACTTTTTATACCTGTCTCTACATCTCTGTAGTGTAAGCTCCCTCCAGGAAGTTCGCTGAAGACAGTCTTACTTTCATACATACTGGTTTCTTTAAAAGGTATAAAAAGGTTAAATGTATAAAAATGAAGCTGGCTGGAAGATTAATGCCATATCAGGTATCTCTCAATTGTTATTGCTTGAACTGTAAAACCAGATTAACCAGGATCTTTGTGGGCTCAAGTGATCTGTCTGCCTCGGCCTCTTAAAGTGCTGGTATTACAGGCATGAACCACAGCATCTGGCCTATTTTATTACTATGAATAACAACGACTGATTTTTATGGAACCAGTGAGGTCTATGATTCTCTGCTTTCCCATACTTGGCCTCCTCCCCATATCTGAAATATCAGGAGGAAGAAACATGATTGACGTCAAGCTGGAAGACATTTTCATCTTCCCAATGAAAAGATCAGTCACAAATACAAGACCACTTTTATGGTAGAATAAGAGGGCATGGAGTGCTATGCATGATCTAATTTTCAGATTAACTAAAATTATTTCTTATTTTAATCTTTACTGAAAACGTTCCAATTTTTTTCTGGTAGAGCAAAATAGAAAAATAAATTCTCAATGACAGAGGCTTACTTAGTTTTAGTGCCTCAGCCAGTAATCTATTGCACAGAACCTGGAAGAATCCTTCAAGTGCAAGCATTACCTTAAAGGGTATATGATATTGAATTGAATCTGAACGGCGCTTCAGAGTTGATTCTAGAAGCAAATTCATCAAGTATTGCCTTATCCGAAGTCTGCTCTCATTGCTTCATATAAAATAGCAGCTTCTCTCCGTTCCCAGAGTTTCTCTTACCCTGCTTTATTGTAACTCATAGCTCTTATCATCATCAGCTGACATTTTTATGCACTGTGTATTGTGGTTTTCCCTCTACTAGAATGTAATGACTGAGAGACTTGAGATTCTAAATCTCTATTTCTGAATTCTCAGCACTTATAATGTAGGAATTCAATAAATATTTATTTATTGAATAAATAAATATAAACTAATTGTCTTGTCATTTTCTTCTTTCCTCCAAGAAGTAAAAGCAGAGGCTCTCCTCAATTTAACATGAAGCCAGCTACTTCACACTGATATTATTCCAGTATGACAAAGAATACAAGGAAAAAAGATCAAAAGATAGTGGCGAGAATAGACCTTAAAAATTATGTAGACTTTTTTTATGAAGGGGAAAACAAACTAGAGTGATGGGTAAGGTCACAAAACCAACTTCTGTTCTGGCACCATCCCTCAGCAGGGCCCAGTGAGAGTCAGGAGAAAGACCAGCACAGACAAAACTACAATATGCTGTATATCCGGGAGAAAGATTAATACATTTCTTTGCTTGCTTTTCCAGCTATGCAAGACAGGGCTCATTCTGACAAAGGGTGAAGTGAAGGATTCATGTGGTGGATTCAGGCTTGCACCTGAGTCTTCACTCTGTCCTCTCAGTGGCTCCTTTTCTGCTGATCCTCTCTGCACCTCAGTGCATTTGGCCAGGACAGACCTTAAAGTGAGATGAATGATAACCTTCAGTGCCACCTGAGAAATCCACACAATTCAATCAGATCTACTTCCTGCTATTCTGTAAATGGCATTCCTTGAGCAACTTTTTAAAAATTCAAAGTGTTAATCAGCGTCTTCCTTTAAAGAATTGTGTTGAATACCCACAATTTCATCATAAGGTATTATAATATTTTTAATAATAAGCCATAGATGTAGAGCTGTATTCATACCAACTTCTCTTTAATAACTGGAAAAGTTATATATTCTACTTGGCTGCTTAGGCTTTTACAAACCACCATTCTCTTTGATTATTTGTGTGTCTGTGTGTGTGTGTGTGTCTTCCTTAGTTGTTTTTTGTCTGTTTTATTGGGTAGAGAGAGGTTGGGGAGGGATAACAGGGGAAGAAATGCCAGATACAGGTGATGGGGGGATGAAGGCAGCGAACCACATTGCCATGTATGTACCTATACAACAATCCTGCATGTTCTGCACATGTACCCCAGAACCTAAAGTGCAATAAAATATATATGTATATATATATATATATATATACTTAACATGAGATCTACCCTCTTAAATTTTGAAGTGCAAAATACAGTATTGTTAACCATATGTAGGCATAAGATTTTGTGGCAGATCTCTAGAACTTACTCATCTCACATAACTTTTTAAAAATCTTTTTTATTTCCATAAGTTTTAGAGAAACAGGTGGTATTTGGTTACATTAGTAAGTTCTTTAGTGGTGATTTGTGAGATTTTGGTGTGCCCATGACCCAAGCAGTATACACTGAACCCAATTTGTAGTCATTTTTAAATCTAATCTTCTAACCCTCCCCTGGCTCTCCCACCCCTCAACAGGCCCCAGTGTGTGATGTTCCCCTTTCTTGCGTCCATGTGTTCTCATTGTTCAACACCCACTTATGCGTGAGAACATGCAATGTTTGGTTTTCTCCTCTTGTGTCAGTTTGCTGACAATGATGGTTTCCAAATTCATCCATGTCCCTGCAAAGGACATGAACTCATCCTTTTTTTTTTTTTTGAGCTCTTGTTACCCAGGCTAGAGTGCAATGGCGCCATCTCAACTCACCGCAACCTCTGCCTCCTGGGTTCAGGCAATTCTCCTGCCTCAGCCTCCTGAGTAGCTGGGATTACAGGCACGCGCCACCATGCTAATTTTTTGTAATTTTAGTAGAGACGGGGTTTCACCATGTTGACCAGGATGGTCTCGATCTCTTGACCTCGTGATCAACCCGCCTCGGCCTCCCAAAGTGCTGGGATTACAGGCTTGAGCCACCGCACCCGGCCGAACTCATCCTTTTTTATGGCTGCATAGTATTCCATGATGTATATGTGCCACGTTTTCGTTATCCAGTCTATCATTGATGGGCATTTGGGTTGGTTCAAAATCTTTGCTTTTGTAAACAGTGCTGCAGTATGTGTGCATGTGTCTTTAAAATAGAATTTTTTATAATCCTTCAGGTATATAGCCAGTACCTTGAGGAATCACCACACTATCTTCCACAATGTTTCAACTAATTTACATTCCCACCAACAGTGTAAAAGCGTTCTTATTTCTTCACATCCTCTCCAGCATCTGTTGTCTCCTGATTTTTTAATGATCATCATTCTAATTGGCATGAGATGGTATCTCAATGTGGTTTTGATTTGCATCCAATTTGTAGTCTTTTACTTCTCACCTCACTCTCACCCTTCCCCTGAGTCCCCAAAGACCGTGTATCACTCTTATGCTTTTGCATCCTCATAGCTTAGCTCCCATTGATGAGTGAGAACATATGATGTTTGATTTTCCATGTTTGGGTTAGTTCACTTAAAATGATAGTCTCCAGTTCCATCTACGTTGCTGCAAATGCCGTTAATTCATTCCTTTTTATGGCTGAGTAGTATTCCATTGTACATATATACCACAATTTCTTTATCTACTTGTTGATTTAAGAGGATTTGGGCTGGTTCCATATTCATATTATAATGACTTATTTTCCTCTGGGTAGATACCTAGTATTGTAATTGCTGGATCAATGGTAGTTCTACATTTAGCTCTTTAAGGAATCTCCACATTGTTTTCCATAGTGGTTGTACTAGTTTAAATTCTCACCATCAGCATAGAAGTGTTCCCTTTTCACCACATCCATGCCAACATCTCTTATTTTTTTATTTTTTTATTATGGCCATTCTTGTAGGAGTAAAGTGGTATCACACTGTTGTTTTGATGTGCATTTCCCTGATCATTAGTAACGTTGAACATTTTTTCATATGTTTCTTGGCCATTTCTATATCTTCTCTTGAGAATTGTCTATTTAGAGAGAACCCCACTCTTTGATGGGATTGTTTGTTTTTTTCTTGCTAATTCATTTGAGTTCTTTATAAATTCTGAATGATAGTCCTTGGCCAGATGTATAGATTGTGAAGATTTTCTCCCACTCTGTGGGTTGTCTGTTTACTCTGCTGACTGTTTCTTTTGCTGTACAGAAGCTCTTTCATTTAATTAAGTCCCATCTATTTATCATTGTTTTTGTTGCATTTGCTTTTGGGTTTCTGGCCATGAAGTCTTTGCATAAGCCAATGTCTAGCAGGATTTTTCTGATGTTATCTTCTAGAATTTTAATAGTTTCAGATCTTAAATTTAAGTCCTTGATCCATCTCTAGTTGGTTTTTGTACAGGTAAGAGATGAGGATTCGTTTCATTCTCCTACATGTACCTTGCCAATTATTTCAGCACTATTTATTAAATAGAGTGTCTTGATGATATGATTATATACCTAGAAAACCCTAAAGACTCATCTAAAAAGCTCCTGGAACTGATAAATGAATTCAGCAAAGTTTCAGGATACAAAATTAATGTACACAAATCAGTAGCTCTGCTAAACACCAACAGCGACCAAGCTGAGAATCAAATCAAAAATTCAATCCCTTTTAAAATAGCTGCAAAACTAAAATAAAATACTTAAGAATATACCTACCCAAGGAGGTGAAAGACCTCTATAAGGAAAACTACAAAACACTGCTGAAAGAAATCATAGGTGACACAAACAAATGGAAACACATCCTATGCTCATGGATGGGCAGAATCAATCTTGTGAAAATGACCATACTGTCAAAAGCAATCTAAAAATTTAATACAATTGCCATCAAAATACCACTATCATTTTTCAAAGAACTAGAAAAAATAATCCTAAACTTCATATGGAACTAAAAAAGAGCCTACATAGCCAAAGCAAAACTAAACCAAAAAAGCAAATCTGGAGGCATCACATTACCTTTCTTCAAACTATACTATAAAGCCATGGTCAGCAAAACATCATGGTACTGGTATAAAAATAGGCATATAGACCAATGGAACAGAATATGAAACCCAGAAATAAACCCAAATACTTATAGCCAACTGACTTCAATTAAGCAAACAAAAACAGAGCTGAAACTTTATACCTGTTGAACAGTGACTCTCATTTCCTCTTCTGCTAAGATCCTGGCAACCACCATTCTACTCCCTGGTTTCTATGAGTTTGACTATTTTAGATACTTCCTGTTAGTGGAATCATGCAGTATTTGTACTTCTGTGCCTAGCTTATTTCACTTAGCATAGGCATTCTGTAAGTTTACCTATGTTTCTGCTTATGTCAAGATTTCATTTTGTTTTAAATCTGGATAATATTCTATTGTATGTAAATGCTAAATTTTCTTTATTCATTCATCTACTAATGGACAAATGGACATTCAGGTTGTTCCCTATCTTGACTATTGTAAATAATGCTGCAATGAACATGGGAATGCAGGTATCTCTTCAAAATCCTGATTTCAATTTTTTTGGATACATACCCAAACATGGAATTGCTGAATCATGTGGTATTTTTATTTTAAATTTTAATTTTTAAAATTTTAATTTTTTGAGGAATCTTGTACTGTTTTCTATAACAGTTATACAATTTTCTTTTTCAACCAATAGTGTAGAAGGGTTCCCATTTCTTCACATCCTCATAAGCACTTGTTATCTATTTTTTCTTGATCATAGGCATCCTAACAGGTGTGACATGATACCTCATTGTGGTTTTTATTTGAATTCCCCCAGTGTTAATAATATTGAGTATCTTATTATATATCTATTGGTAATTTGTATATCTTCCGTTGAGAAATGTCTATTCAAGTCCTTTGACCACTTTTTATAGCATTAGTTAGGATTTAGGGTTTTATTAATTTCTTTTGATTTTGCTATTTATAGGATTTCCTCTTCTCTTTACGATCATGATTATTTTTAATTTGGGTCTCAACCGGAGTTTATAGTGATGATGACTGTCACAATTACATTGACCTTTACTCTCTCAGAGTCTGCCCTTTTTTATGTTCTTGTTCCTTCCTCTTTTCTTTTATTTTCTTTTATGTTATTCCTGGTGTAGGAATTTCCTTAATTCTTGTATTTTTTATTTCACATTGGAATCACCAAGTGCATTAATGTCTGAGTTTATTGTAAAAGCCAAAGATGAAATCATCCTTCGACTAATATAATTAGTTGATAATCCTAACATTTAAAAAAATCTTTGAATATTTCTCTGGCTTCTGTGTTTTTTCAGAAAAAGCCAAAAGAATCTTGCTAAAGACTACTCCAAAAATGCAATTGCTGGTGTATAACAGACAAGAAAAAAGTTTAATAAATACATAAACTTTACTTATTTGTGCTTAAAATGTTAGTAGGGGAAATGCTAACTCATTTAATAAACAGTTCCTAGAAGTAAATTTATCAAAAGCAGTTAGAAAAATTTATAGGTGTACTTCAAGCATTTCTGCAAGAATCCTCGCCCCCACCCCCAGAAAAGGTGAACATATAGAAACTAAAGAAAGCAAATAGCAAAATAGAGAAGACCTTTATTTCCTTCCAATGGGGGGAAAAAGTTAATTAATCATTAGGTTTTTGTCTTCCAATGTCTATGGAAGTTTCCACATGATAGCCCTTTTCCCCAAAGTAGAATCCAGAACTCCATTTTCAACTTACCATTGGCATATGACTTAGACTGAACCAATTAAACCACCTCTGCAAGCTTGGATTTGGAAGAGATCAAAGAGAAAGAAGACTCCACATGGAATTTATTTTTGAAGAAAGGTATATGGTTGTTGACAAGAGTCATGGAGTTTGTTTGCTTCTTTGTTTTTTAACTAATAGACTTTATCTTTAAGGTCCACAGAAAAACTAAGCAAAAATACAGAGATTTCCCATATACCCGCTCACCTCATAAACACTCATAGCCTTACACACTATCAGCATCACTTACCAGAGTGGTGCACTTGTTGCAACTGATTAAATGACTGACACATTATTGTAACTCAAAGCCTCTACTTTACATTAGAAGCTCACTCTTTGGGCTATACATTCTTTGGGTTTTGACAAATGTGTAATGACATGTATTACCCTCTTAGCATTGATACAGAATGGTTTCACTGCCCTAAAAATCACCTGCACCCCACCTACTTCTCCCTCTCTCCCACCAAACCTCCAATAACCACGGATCTTCTTACTGCTTCCATAGTTCTGTCTATTCTGATTGGCTTCTGTCACTTGGTTATATACATCTAAGGTTCTTCCATGTGTTCTCATGGCTTGAATAACTTGCTTCTTTTTAGCATTGAGTAATATTCAATTGTGTGGATATATCACAATTTATATATTTACCTATATTGAAGAACATCTTGATTGCTTCCAAATTTTGGCAATTATGAATAAAGCTGCTATAAATGTATGTGTGTAGGTTTTTGTGTGGACACAAGTTTTCCTGTGGACATAACTCTTTTGGGTAAATGCCAAAGGACACAATTTATGGATCATATAATAAGACCACGTTTAGCTTTATGAGAAACTGCCAGACTGTCTTCCAAAGTGGTTATACCATTTTGTAACCACACCAATAATTAATGAAAGTTCATGTTGCTTGACATCCTCATCAGCATTTAGTGTTTTCAGTGTTTTAGATTTTATCCATTCTAATAGGTGTGCAGTGGTGTTCCATTGTTATTTTAATTTACAATTCCTTAAAGAGGTATAATGTAAACTATCTTTTCCTATGCTTATTTGTCATGTATATATCTTCTTCGGTTAGGTGTCTATTCAGATTTTTTGCACTGGTTGTTTAATAAAGTTGTTTTTGTATTGCTGAACTTTAAAATTTCCTTCTATATTTGGGACAACAAGTCCTTTTTCAGATATATCTTTTGAAAATATTTCTCCCACTCTGTGACTTATTTCTCATTCTCTTGACAGTGTATTTCACAAAACAAAAATGTTTAATTTTAATGAAGTCCAACATATCGACTTTCTTTTTTCATAGATAGATGCATTTGGTGTCATATCTGAAGGGCCATCTCCAAACGCATCTAGATTTTTTCCTATGTTATCTTCTAGGCGTTTAATAGTTTTGCATTTTACATTTAGACCTATGATGCATTTAGAGTTACTTGAGTTAAGAGGTAAAAAATCTGTTTCTAGATTTTTTTCTATGTTGATGTCTAGTTGTTTCAGAGCCATTTGTTGAAAAGACTATCCCTTCTCCAATGAATTGCCTTTATTTCTTTGTCAAAGATCAGTTGACCATATTTGTATGGGCCAATTTCTGAGCTATTTTTGTCCCAGCAATCTATTCGTCTGTTGTTTCGCCAATACCACACTGTCTTGATTGCTATAGTCACTGAGTTTTCAGAAGTCACGATAGCAGAGGACCTAGTGAGTGTGACCCATGCAGTATCTAAAATCCAAGCTGTGCTTTGGATAAGTGCTGTGAAGATACACCTGTAGACAAAGTGTGATTTGGGACTTACTCCCGATTAAAGCCTGTTTCGTTGTTTGCAGCTAAGAACTCAGATCTCTAAAGCAACATAAATATGCTTCCAATAAGAAGTTGCCAGATGTATTAAGTTCTTTATTACTCCTCTTGAAGTATTATGGAAATGAGAAAATACATGGTAAGTAAGTCAACAGAGCTAGGTCTAAGTCTTGGCTTTGCCAGTGGCTACCTGTATGATGCTATCTATCAACCAGCTTTCCCAAATCTGTATTTATTCTTCTGAAAATAGGGATAATTTCTGTCTCAATTAAGTAAGTGATCTTAATCTAAAGAATTTAACAGATTATAATGCTTGACCTCGTAACCTACCCGCCTCGGCCTCCCAAAGTGCTGGGATTACAGGCTTGAGCCACCACGCCCGGCCAAACATTCAACTTCTATGGATCCACTTTGGCCACAAAAAAATTCAATTAATGCTTTTTACATTTGCTGTCTGCTAAACATGGGGTGATCTTTTTATTTCAAAGTACCTTTTTATTTCAAAAGACAAGGTAAGTCTCTCTATCTGATTGGAGGTACCAGCTTAGGAACACTGGTAACGAGAGAAAGTAATGAAATATTTTCGGGCAACACAAGGACTTTAAGCCTGAGTAAGCCAAATTTTTGAATTGTAGCAGCTCTAAGACTCAAAAAAATAATAGTTGCACAATAGTATCATATCCAAACAAAAGAAGAAATCAGTATATCTTGTGGCCAAAGTGGATCCATAGAAGTTGAATGTCTGGCCGGACGCGGTGGCTCACGCCTGTAATCCCAGCACTTTGGGAGGCCGAGGCGGGTAGATCACGAGGTCAAGAGATCGAGACCATCCTGGTCAATATGGTGAAACCCTGTCTCTACTAAAAATGCAAAAAAAATTTAGCTGGGCATGGTGGCATGTTCCTGTAATCCCAGCTACTCAGGAGGCTGAGGCAGGAGAATTGCCTGAACCCAGGAGGCGGAGGTTGTGGTGAGCCGAGGTCACGCCATTGCACTCCAGCCTGGGTAACAAGAGTGAAACTCCGTCTCAAAAAAAAAAAGAAGTTGTATGTCTAAACTATATATTATTAAAACAATTTCTTATATCTGTTTTAGCTAATTAGAGATAGTTTCACTGAGGAAGTGGTATCATTAGAAACAAAGACAATATTTGGTCTATGAATTTCTGTGAAAAATCATTTTACTTTTCCTCATTATATAAGCAATTTAATGATTATTAATTGCATAAAAATACTTGAAAAACAGATAAGAAATGAAATTCAAATAATCTACAATTCTACTGTACAGAGATCATTATTGCCAGCATTTTTGTATTTATCTTTCCAAAATACTTCCTATGTATTTAGTTACAGATAGATGTCAAAAATAAGAATGAATTATATACTCTGTCACTTAGCCTGTTTTCTTTTTACATAAAACATGAGCATATTCTAGGTCTGCAAATAGAACTATATTGTTTTTCATGGCCACAAAGAATTCCCTTCAAAGCACGTAACAAAATTTATTTAACTATTCACCTATTGATAAACACTTAGGTAATATCCACAGTGGGAAGACGGCATGAAACAGACTGTGGAGAATAACTTTTCCCATATATCCTTTTGCACTTGTCCAATCATTTATTTAGACAAATTTCAGGTGGTACAACTTCTGGGTTAAATAAATGGTATCTATTGGTTTTCATGAATGAGAATCATTATATTACCAGAATTCATCTCAATAAAAAGGACTAAAAACAAGTCTACGGTTGCTTTTTTGTTTTTGTTTTTGAGACGGAGTTTCGCTCTTGTTACCCAGGCTGGAGTGCAATGGCGCGATCTCGGCTCACCGCAACCTCCGCCTCCCGGGTTCAGGCAATTCTCCTGCCTCAGCCTCCTGAGTAGCTGGGATTACAGGCACGCGCCACCATGCCCAGCTAATTTTTTGTATTTTTAGTAGAGACAGGGTTTCACCATGCTGACCAGGATGGTCTCGATCTCTTGACCTTGTGATCCACCCGCCTCGGTCTCCCAAAGTGCTGGGATTACAGGTGTGAGCCACCGCGCCCGGCAACTGCTGTTTTCTTAGCAGTAGTATAATTTGTCTTCCACATACTCTCTCCCCCAACCCTCTCTTCATTGTCTCCCCCCACCCTTTCTCTCTCTCGTATGCACACAAATACACAACACACACACACTACCCCTAATGCATGGTCTTGCTGGTAATGCACTGTGCTGAATGTTAGCTTCATCACATTAAGGGAAGCCACAGTAAGCCTACGTGGTTTATTGAAAGTAACCAAAACTGCAGTGAAATTTCGTCACCGATGGCGATGAATACTTTCAAAACCGTTAGTCCTTACACTCCAATCACCATCGGATATTCCTCAGAAGCTTATCTTAGTCACATGTACCAAACTTTCTCCAGCCACTGCTTGTCCTTGATAACATCGGGGATCAGGTAAGCCAGGTTCCTTGTCTCAATTTATCTGCTCCCTCAGGTGTTTCCATAAGCTCTGATGCTAAGCCATGTGAGTAGAAGTTCAAAACATCTGTTCAGTTTAGAGATTTGTCTTTGAAAGGGGAAACTGGGAAAGACAGGGAAAGAATTTAGGGATGCACCCTCATCTGGCATGCAGAAGATAAACATGGGGATTTAATGATTTACTTTCACTCTAAAGCCCTATACTTAAACTTTTTAAAACTGTAGCAGGCTTAAAACATAAAAGAAAATATTTTACCACTTTTACTGCTCACTGCCAATAATTGCTTTGGAAAAGACCCTGCACTTAGAATCACCATGGGAAATTATAAGGACAGAATTTCCATTCCAAAGGCCCACAAAGAAGGGTTTCTTTTGGTATCCTGTAAAAGGCTATATTTTTTATTTGAATAGGTACTAAAGTTTTGTAAGAAAATCTCTACAGACAGGTTTATGCCATAGGAGATAATATTCATGCAAAATCACAGAACTCAAACATGATTGAATTATTTCTTTTTATTATTGCATTTTAGGTTTTGGCATACATGTGCAGAACATGCAAGACAGTTGCATAGGTACACACATGGCAGTGTGTTCTGCTGCCTTCCTCCCCTTCACCCACATTTGGCGTTTCTCCCCAGGCTATCCCTCCCCCACTCCCCCCCCGCTGTCCCTCCCCTATTCCCCCCAATAGACCCCAGTGTTTAGTACTCCCTTCCCTGTGCCATGTGTTCTCATTTTTCATCACCCGCCTATGAGTGAGAATATGCGATATTTCATTTTCTGTTCTTGTGTCAGTTTGCTGAGAATGATGTTCTCCAGACTCATCCATGTCCCTACAAAGGACACGAACTCATCATTTTTTATTGTTGCATAATATTCCATGGTGTATATGTGCCACATTTTCCCAGTCCAGTCTATAATCGATGGGCATTTGGGTTCCAGGTCTTTGCTATTGTAAACAGTGCTGCAATGAACATTCGCGTGCATGTGTCCTTATAGTAGAATGATTTATAGTCCTTTGAATATATACCCAGTAATGGGATAGCTCGAAGGAATGGTGGGAAAAGTTGAAAATGTTTGGACCAAAGTAAAGAGCACCCCAGGAAGGCAGACTGCTCTTCACCTCCGAGAAAGCGACTGCTTGTCATTTACATGCCCCACCAGATCAGTCTAGGATGAACGGGAGAAAACTGCAGAGAAGAATGACCTAGCAGACTAATCTCCTTTACTAACTTCTCACCCTAGCTGCTACATGGAAGCCGAGGGCTTGCAGGGGAGGCCATGACGTACAGCCATTTACTCAAGCAGTTAAAATCAGCACTCTAGGAAAGTCGTAGAACCAGATGTGTATACAGTTTCAGACCCCAGAACACTCAATGTAAACTCATTTAAATTTAATGTGATTTTGTTTATTTGTGGAATATCTACCTCTAAGAGTAATCCACTGTTGTGGTTTAGAGCCCTGGCTCTGGAACCAAACTGCCATGTTCATATCCGTTTGATCACTTAGTAAGTGTGTGACTTCCAGCAGGCTACTTAATGCATTTAATCTCTCTCTGCCTCAGTTTCCCTATATATATAAAATGGAAATAATAATATACCACACGAGGCTGCTACAAAAATCAAATTAGCATATGCAAAACACCTAGAAGACTTCCTGGCATGTATAAAGCACTCAATACTTATTAGTTGATGTTATTAATATAGTATTAATATGCAAAATCTTATGCATGTGAGAGTGAAAGTTCTTAAAAGAATGTTTTAGAGTAACGTCACTTGAGGAAAATTAGTAACAATTCAGTAGAGGGAGAACAAAACAATTTCTTTTGCTTAAATGACTGGACACCTGAATGGGACAGCTGATTTACCAAAAAACTTAGACTATTCCTCTTTTGCATTGAAGTTTGGTATTTAAATACAAAATCCTGACCAGGAAGAGTCTGTTTCTATATGATTTGTTTCTACTGGAAGAGGGAATGTGGAAGTGGAGTGTGGCATCAGGAACCAGCTCTGCACAGCATATTTCTGTATCAAAATTGGACTGAACTTCTTTGTGGTCTCCTCTGACCAGATAAAATACTGGATACCCTGGTATTATCAAAAGGATATAAGGGAAGCTCATAGATGCCATGGGCAGGGATGTACCCAGGCCCAGAGAACAATCTGAATGCAGGATTGGAGCCTTTCAGAGACCCCAGGGCCTCACTTGCAATCTCACATTCCCTCACAGCAGGCTAGCCTTCTTTACCTCCAATGGGACACATGGTGCATCACGGCCCCCCTGGTTTTCATGTTCTCTGTTCAAAGTCCCAGCCAGACTGAAACTGGAGTCTCTCAAGCCCCACTCAAGGTTCCTGGGGGTCAGAGGTAAACATTTGTATAGGATGGCAGAAGGGGTAGTTTTCAGAGAATTGGAAGGAGAGCCAAGCAGACAAACAGGAGGTATCCAATAAAACTAACTTATCAAAAACCAAAGAAACCCACAAACAAAACTGAAAACAAAGCAAGGAGAACCAAGAAGGCACATTTTGAAACTCAAATTGAGATCATCAGATTCAGCAGGTAACAGACAGACACTGTTAAAGCAAACCGCCCCCCCCCGCCCCGCTTTCTTTCTGTCAATAAAATTGAGGCAATCTGGAGATGTGCTTATTCCAGAAGGAATCAAAAGTGGAAATATCCTTTCTGTAATGTTATGATGGGTAAGGGCAAAGAAGGGCGCAGGGGCAGAGCAGAGGTTGCCTCAAAAGCTTTAACCCTAAGCCCAAGCTCTGATTTGCAGATACCTCACCCTAAAAGTTAACCCAGGATTCCATCAAATGAGGTGAAATAGAAATAATTACTACATTTCTCACTTTGTTTAGGTCTTCTAATACTCTTGGCTAAGTTTCATCGATTCTTCCTCATTTATTAAGTCACTTCTGAGACGCTGCTTTGTCATACTTCAGGCCTTCTGACATGCTCTTTCCTCTGCCTGGATCACATTTCCCTCAAGTCAAACCATGGTTAGGATGGTCTACTCCACCTGTGAGTGCAGTTGCCCTGCCCATGGGTAATAAGTAAGACTATTACTCAGTACCCAGGCCAGCGGCCCTTGAAGAAGTTGTCCCCTAGCCAAGTTACGTCTTAATCATGACTTTAAAATAGCTTGTTCCTGGTGCTAAATGGCATCTACAAAGCAGTTAGATATTTTCTCATGCTGCAAGCTCCTTGTTGTTATTTACGGGAGATAATTGAGCATTCCTGCTTCTTCTTTGACCCCTTAGGAAAAAAATACAAAGAGAAAGTTATTTCCTCTCTGCCACCCTGAGCTAGCAAGCACTCAGTTACCTTCCGGGGAATAATCCCATATCCCCCCTTTCCTTTATTCAATGATGTATTCCATGTTTTTGAACGACCACCACTGCTGGAGATTACGCCAGTGGCAGGCTCAGAGTTATAGAGGACAATTGGTTCCCATCCTCAAATATCTCCCAAGCTAAGTTTCCCGATGATCCACGTCTTTTTCTCCTGCTTACATTCAGACCCACAAAAGGCAAGAGGCGAGGTGTCTTTTCCAGAGCTCCCTCGTCAGCCTC